TTGTCACCAGTGTGCAGTGACTGTCACCACAGCGCATGGACTGTCACCAGTGTGCAGAGATTGTCACCAGTGTGCAGTGACTGTCACCACAGCGCATGGACTGTCACCAGTGTGAAGAAACTGTCAGTTGTCAGAGATCGTCACCGTAGGCAGTGACCGTTGCCGATGTACAGACACTGTCACCACAGTGCCGAGTTTACACTGCCATTAGCAGCGTGTGGACGTAGTCACCACCTCGCGGCTTTCTTTGGTGTGCTGGCCCTCCGCTCGTCGTGGCGGTGTATGTACGCCTGGAGCCTATTGTTGGCTATCACACCACTGCTCGTTCCTATGCACCAATAAAAACACACAGGAAAACATTTAAAAAACCAATGCGTCGTTCCAAGAATATAATATGCTACCATAATAATTGCACACCTAACACTGTATGGTTGTCCCTGACCTGACCTGACCTAGGTCGCTGACTTGTCCTAGGTCGCTGACCCGACCTGACCTAGGTCGCTGACTCGACCTGACCTAGGTCGCTGACCGTAATGCTGACATACCTGTGGAGTTGAGATCTCGCGAGAGCAGTGTCTCGCGCCACGGGTCAGAGGACGTCTCGCTCGCCTCGTTCGACCGCCGTCTCGCCCGCTCGCTCGCCGGTGACGCCCCCTCTCTCCGCGCGCCGTTCGCCTCCCTCCTCTCTCGCTGCTGCGTCTCCCCTCCGGTGGGGCTGCCCCGCAGGCCCCCGCTGACCCACCCGCTCTCCTCCTGCTGTTGCTCGGCCGCCGCGCTGCCGTTCCTGACGCGCGTCAGACGCCTTCCCTGCGCGATCAGCTGCCGTAGTTCCTCCATCAGCAGCACTATGTCGTTCTTCACCTCCCAGCCGTCGTCGGCGTCGGCGGAGAGGAACCTCGGGGTGTCGTCCTCCTGCGGAGGAGGAGGAGAAGGAGGAGGAGGATGAATGAGCGAGAGCTGGGAGAAACGCTGCCAAACCTATGCTACCTGAATGTAGTACGTAGAATTTAGTATGTGTTTTTTAGTATGTAGTATGTAGTATGAAGTAGGTAGAATGTAGAATGTAGTATAAAATCTGTAGTATGAAGTATGTAGTATAAAATCTGTAGTATGTAGTATGTAGTATAAAATCTGTAGTATGTAGTATGAAGTGTGTAGAATGTAGTATGTAGTATAAAATCTGTAGTATGTAGTATGAAGTGTGTAGAATGTAGTATTTAGTATAAAATTGTAGTATGTAGTATAAAATCTGTAGTATGAAGTATGTAGTATGTAGTATAAAATCTGTAGTATGAAGTATGTAATATGTACTACGTATTATAAAATCTGTACTATGTAGTATGTAGAATGTAGTAGACACATCGACGTACATGTAACGATGCGTGGGCGTGTATAACTGCAAACAAACGGGAGCGGAGGATGTCGTACGTAACAACGCGGGCTTCATACGTACGTACGTACACACGTAGGTGCGCCACGTCATCCTGCAGCGGGAGAGGCACGAGCGAAGCCGAGAGAAAACACTGTTTAATATCACCGACCCGATCGCCATGTAACGACACATCGACGTACAGGTAACAACACCCGATCGACAGGTAAAGACATCTACGTACATGTAACGACACACGGGTGGAGTGTAACTGTAACTGTAACTGTAACTACACGGGAATGCCATACGTAACGATGCCAACTTCGTTCTCCTCACCCCAGGCGACCCACACCAAACAACGCTCCCGTCGACCCGGCGCCTACGTGACCCAGGGAAAAAATTTCTTTTTTTTTTCACGGGAGCTCTTTTTCAAAAGTCCCCCCTCTTTTTCGTCAAAGATTTTACGGGAGCTATTTTGAGCCTCACGGGATCGATTTCGGAGGTTTGAAGAGCGAATCGCTCATCGCTCCCGTGTATTTTTTACCCTGACGCGACCTCACCTGCTGTCTCTGATCGCTGCACCGCTCCAGCGTTGCGCCGCGCGGCGAATTTCCGCCCGACCGGGCGCTGCCTGTCTTCCGATCGGTCGTTGCTAACTTCTGCGCCGTCGGGGTCGGCGGCGAGCGCGCGGCTCTGATGATGGTGACGCCGCCGCGGTCGCGCTCCGTCGTGAGAGACTTGCTGAGGCCTGCGGCGGGAGCGGCGGTGCGGCCAGGCGGCTGCCGACGCAGCAGCCGCGTTAGTTGCTTGTCTTCCTCCTGCTGCTGCTGCTGTTGTTGTCGCTCGGCGCCAAGCTGAACGAGAGCGTACTTCATCGCTGCCTGCGAGAGAGAGAGACTACGTCACGATCGG